TTCTTCCTAGTCTGATTTGATGGACACGGATCCTGAAGGAAGGAGACTCGTCAGTGTTTCACGGAGCGGAGGGCAGATTTGGACTAAACTATTTTTGTTTCAAGTCCTCTGCAGTAGTAGGAAAAAAATAATTTCAGTCTCATAGCTATATTTCTGTCTGTAATTGCTGGTTAATACAATTCCGGTCAGAGTTTTTGGAGGATCATTTCTAATTGTTAGACAGACAAGAGACAGCTTCATCCATTAGGACTAATCCTGTTTCGCAAGAAGCTCAGTGTTTAAGCTGTTATACTGATTTCCCCCCTGATTCATAGGAGCTATTACATCTTTATCCTCCTCTAAAATTGGAGGAAGGTGTGGCTTAGAGTCTCATGGACAAAGGCAGTAGCATGACACCTCCTAATGTGCTCGTTATTTCTTTCTCCACAGCAGATATCATATTTCTCTTAAAAAAAAAATAATATTGGAGAAGAAGAAAGCCATGCTTATCGTGTATCGTAACATTTCTGCCAGTCTTGTTGTTTGTAATGTGCTGGTGTGGTGTGGAGGAAGGGGTGTGAAAAGACACCATCGGCTCTTCGTACAAATGGTGGAGCCCAACTTGCAGACTAGTTGTTTGAACATTTCACCAGCATTGCTAGATTCACTTCAAATGCCTAAGGAAACAGTAACGTAGTTTTTAATGGCTTGTCAATTACTCTGATTTCTTCCCTGCTTTATGGCACACATTGTGCATTCTCTTTCACCAACCCGATAAATATTTAACTCTACGAAGTGGAGCCGCTCCACAGAAAAGCTGAGATGCCTATCCAGAATAAGAGCTGGCTGGTCAGGAAGGATTTGTGCACGGTGTGCTGCCATCATCAAGCTCAAATGCTTGTTTTACCAGATTCGGAGCAGGATCTTCACCATAGTCCCCCCCCGACCTTGAGCCTACAGCCCAATTTAATTGTGAAATCTGTATTTGGCAGGTTCGGATACAGAACGCTATCCAGGACCAAAGAAATATCTTTTTGTGGGGGGAGGGAGTAGCAGGGGGAAGGAAGACTTCAACATGTTTTAAGCGTTCTTGAAATGGATCTGTGGAGATGTACTGCAGGCTTTGGCAGCGGCCGAGCTGTTGAGAGGTAGCTCTTCTGCAGGGTAATGCACGCAAGTTTTCAGAACTTTGTTGGTCGAGCATGTGCCTAACTGCTTTCTTGAACAAGTAGAGGTTTAAAACGCGTCTATATCCCATTTAATCGTGTGCTTAAGTGCACAGAATTGGGTTACTTTCACAAGTTGAGCTCTTTAGCTACTGCTCTCAATTAAAAGCAGTGACAATTGCAGAGCTGAGATAGAGGAATCGAGGAGCAGCCAGCAACACCTGCGCTCAAGCAAGTGTGCCTTCAGCTTGAAGGTTGCTTGGTGTTCCCTGAAGGAAGCGGTTGAGATGCCAAACAAAGTCTAACAGCTGATGTCCTGTATCTGCACTAAACAATTCCTGAGTCACCACAGACTTGGATGTCTTGAGTTACCAAGGTGCAAAGTGACGGACTTTGCGTGGAAGAAATGGTATGGGATTCATTATCTGCGTATGAGTCGCCTCATTTGGACTCTGTCTCATCATTGTTTCTTTGCATAACTATTTTCACTGATAAAAAGCGAGATGTTCACCTCGTTGGAGTGGAATGCTTCTGACCTGCAGCTAGACTGGGCAAAGGACAGCTGAAGTGTGTGCATTCTTGGTGATAACCCTTAGTGCGCAACAAGGGGCGCTTGTCTTGATTTCAACTCTTCTGGTATAAGCCCTGGGCAATTGAATCAGTGTAACACATGCCAAATGGCAAAGGATAAAGATCTTTTTTCTGCAGAAATAAGATTTAGCCGTTGTACTTGAAGTTTAATACATACTTTTTGCATGGGGCCCTCCCAACTTTTTAAACTCCAAAGGAGGCACTGTAAAAAAAAAAAGTCACTCGGGTTCTTATTCTCACTCAAAATTACCCATGGAATGGGTACGCGGGTTGTCATCCCAGGCAACTGTAGGACAACGAGCAACGAGACTGGCTGTGAAAAACAGGATTAATTTGTTTTCTCACTGACCTTGAGAACTATGGTTCCTCTTAAAGGGGGAGAGGAAGAATTGAACCAAACCTAAAACCCAGTGCGCTTCATCAGACAGTTGTAGTCGGATGGCAATAATATGTATTTTAAGGACAAAAGTATATAGTAGTACATCTTAAATCCAGCTAAGTCCATCTTGTAGTTAAGCACAATAATGTTATAAATTCTGAGATGGGCTTATACCCTCGAGAAGTATGGATTGTAGCTGGTAGTTACATTTCTTTTGGAAAAAAAACCTAAACGTGTGCATGCATATGGGTGAGAGGAGCAAAATTTTCTACTTTGAAAGAGGATGATAATGAGTTCTGCCAGGAAAAAAAAAGTCTTCATTCAGAGGCATCACAGAATAGGCTGACAGGAGGTGGAAGCAGCAGAACTTGTGCAGTAGATGTCTGAATTTGGCAGTGATTTAAAATGCAGTCTAAAATAAAGTTGGTTGAGTACAGGCAGAATTGATGTTGAGCCGTACACTCTGTTCAGTGTGAGCACGTTATGTGAAAAAGTGGAATTTCCATCTGAAATTTTTCAGAAAGCTTGGGCAAGCGTAGTGCTGCAAAGTATGGGGTTATGATTTAAAGAAATTCAGATGAGCTTTTGATCAAATGTGGAAGCTATTTAGTTGTTACGGGTTTCGTCTATGTTTCTTATCATTTTCCACTTGTGGTATTGGTTAAGAAAACATCTGAAAAGGCAACATATGGCAAAAGCAGTGGTGTGGGTGCAATATGAAATACTTTTCTTTTCAGAATCAGTGCTTGGAAAGATATATTTTGTGTAGTTTTAAGGATCATCTAAGACAATCATACCTTTACAGGCCATATTGTAAACTTGAAAAATTATTTTGAGTTTGAATATAGAAAAGAAACAATAATAATAAATGCAATTTAATCGTAGAAGAGTGATGGATGATGTGTTAATGGGAGAAATAGTTGAGATAGATTTGAGATTTGCAGATGTTGACACCTGTGGTTGTTGCCCGGTCTCCCTGTGTGGGTGCTGGAGAAGGACAGGTACCGTTACCTAGAGTGGAGCAAAAATGCTTCTGCCTGCCTGGTGGTGCTGGGCACCTTCGGACCGGTTCCAGGCTCTGCTGGAGGCTGTTCCCAGACGGGTTCTCGGCCTCTGGGCAAGCGCTCCTGGGTGAGAAGGGGAGGAGGGGACCTCTAGCAGGTTCTGAGCACGTTCCTGCCTGGTTTTCAGGGCTGGTTTGGAGAGGTCCTGTTCAAAATGGATGCAGTGTATGATGGCATGGAAAACCCTGTTTCTGTGGAAGAAAACTGTGAGCTTGTCATGCATACGCTGCTCTTGCTGCTGCTGACTGGAGGGTATTAGGTCTGTTACTGGTTTTGGGGGCCTATACGTACTGTTGCTCCAGTGTCTTCCAGATGAAAATTGAGTTTAGTAGTGCCAATAGTCATTGGTTTGCTGGGATTTCACCCAACAATTCATGGAACAATTACAGCTCTTCCTCCCAGGAATATGTGCTTACATAACTGCTCCAGGTTTTGATTTTCAGATGTGTATTTAGTCTTTTCCCCTTAAGCAAAAAGCCTGAAAGAGGTGATCCTCATGAAGCAAACAAAAAGCTTTAAAGACAGACATTCAAGTCCCCTCCTACCAAAGCCAGGTTTATCAGTCTGCAGACCAACTCGCCGTTTTGACGTGGAGGCAGGAGCCCCGTGGGAACTGCTGTTTTGGGAAATAGCGTGCGCTGGTCAGTCTGTCTTTGTCGTTGTTCTATATTGCTTGGTAGTGCTGCCAAGCACTCTTCAAAAGCTGTCTGTTCTATCGTAGAAGTTGTGCCTTAATTTGCAGTCATTTCCAAAAGTGCTTTAGGACAGTACGTAACCCCAAACTGTTTCTGTACAGTGCAGAGAATGACAAGGCTGCAGAACGGATTGATTTATTTTATCACCTGGACAAACAGGAAGTAAAATTCCAATCTCTTGTGCTAACTTCAACTTAACCACTTAAGAATTACAAAGTTTGGCTGTTTCTAGATCTTGACGTGGCTATCATTAAGAATTTGACGTTTGGGTGGGAAAAGCCTTGAATGCAACCATTCCTTTCTAAAATGAAGCATGGTAAAAGCAAGAAAAGAGCATCGACTTCAGAAATGGCTTTGGTGGCTTGGAAGGAAAAGGGAGGGCCGGTAAAGAGAATGGAATTATTGAGCAGCGACTCAGTAAAGAGGCAAACGTGATCAGCAGCAAGCTGTTTTTCTTCTTTCTCATTAGTAACTAGTTCCTCAGACAGGTGGTGGTACCTACTGTTATACACCACTGTTTAATCTCCAAAGCCGGGAGAGACTAACGATAGAACCGAAAAGAAAGTGGTTAAAATACGGCTTCTGTGGACGTCGGTAGGAAAGCTGTACCTGAGTTCACGGAACTAGTCTGTCCAGTAGAGTCTCATGATTTGCTGTCCTGTGCCCTGTCTGCTCAGAAGGTGTTTTTTTGCTGGTAGATGTTGAAGTTGGACAAATTTCTGTACTAAAGACCACATTGGGGTGCTTCTGCTGCATGTTTTATGTCTCCGTTACTGCAATTGCAATAACGACCTTTTTTTCCAGAGTAAATACACAGAATGTGGAAAACAAATTATTGAAGGCATAGAGGAACTTTTATTTAGAAATCATTTACTGGGGAGGTAAAAAGCAATAATAAGAAAAAAAAATATCTTAAATTCAATTACTGGATGCTTAGCTGAAGCAGAAGTGGAAACGTCATCTAAACTAATAATATAAGCAAAACCCATTACGCTAATAGTCTTGCCTAATTTATAACTACTGAAAACTTACTGGGGAGCAGTGGAGAGCAAGGTATGTATTTGTGATAGATTTGAGAACATGGAAAATTAACCTATTTTTCCTTCTCTTTTTTTTTTTTTTTTAGGTAAGTAACTGAAGGGGACATGAAGAATTGACTTTTAAATGGCCAGCATGTTGCAAAAGGTATTTCACTTTAGATTGAAGAGGAATGTGTGAATAATTCATTTGAGTACTTCTTTAATGAATAGTTGCCTTTTTTTTTCTTAAAAAAAAAAAAAAAAATTAAACCTTCTTTCTTTCACTGAATGACTGAAAGAAGTAAAAATCAGCAAGCCTGTGCTTGGTGTTCATGCTATCCTTAAATGACGTCAGCGTCTAATGGGAAACTGGATACCCTTTCCTTAACTTGTTGTCTGTGTAAGCCATGCTGGTCGACCAGACGCCAAACTGCGTTAGTCCTTCTGCCCCTCTGGTTTGCAGTGACGCTGTTGAGCGTGCAGGCAACGCGTTTGGGGTGCTGCACTAGCAGGTCGCAGGTTATTTCAAGGCAACACGCGCTGCACCATTCAGTAGTGGGACGCAGCTGTGGGCAGGGAGTCTTGAACGCTGCTTGCTGTCCCTGTAGGTGGGCTTAATCCTTCTTCGCTATCAAATGACATCCAGACTGGCAGGAGGTCCTCACTGTGTCATTGCAGAGAAGGCAGAAGAACCTGGTTTTCGCGAGTCGACTACAATTATTTTATTTTCTGTATGCTAAAAATGTAGTAGGAATAATAACATGATGAATGGAATCTGTAAGTATCGTGCTTGAAATCTTTTTCTCCCCCAGAGACTCTGCCTGAGGTCATTTGAGGTGTTACTAATTTTGCTGTGGGTCACTGGAAAGTCTGTTTTAGGTGCTGATCATAAAATTGATAGGTGTGTCACGTCGGATTTTGAAGAGATGATGTCACTAAGCGACTTTGAGAAAGCTAAACCGGCATCTGATCTCTTGCCAGCCAGATGGTTGTGTAGGTATGCGAGGGCTTGCCACGCGTTGGGAAGCGGGATCTGTAAATATGCTGCTAACAAAATTCTCGAGCTTCTGCTGATGACGCCCACACACAAGCTTCAAAGCACACTCTGCTATATTTTGTTTGCGATAGTTGTCCTGCGGATTATTTTTTTAAATCGCTGATCATGGATTATAATTTTGTAGAATGTTTGTTGTCAAATGCAGTGAAATCCATCCGAAGAGTGTAGGTCGATGGGGAGAGCGATGGAGGAATTCCAGTCAATACCTATTAGGGATGGTAACGCAAAGCTATTTGGAAGAATCTTCAGAAAGGCTGGTTAAAGAAAAAGAATTCTGTCTTATAAAAATGTCAGTGTTTCCTAATTATTTCCATTAGAATAAAAGTTATACTGCTTAATATTGTTGACAGAAGAGCGGAAAGGAAGGCAGACGTTTTGATTAGGGATTGTGTCTGGGGTTATGCAAGATAAACTCAATTTTTCATCTGAGTAAGGCAGAACTGAGGTTTAACTCTGAATCTCCTGCTTCTGAAAAGATTATGGAGACTCCTGGGTTTTTGGCTGTTCTCCTTCCCTAGTTTTTGAGTTAAAAAACCAAAGCTATATTGAACGCAAAAAATAAGTTTTCTCTGACAAGATTCTTAGCTGAAAAATTCTGACTGGCTTTGCTTCTTATAGACTTTCCACTTTGAGCTGCGTGTAACTACTTTATCATCTTTTTCTGCTGTGCTTCCTGATTTTTCTTTTCTCTCCACTGGGATTTTACTGACATAGAAATGTCACGGAGAAACAAAGCCTCACCCGGAGCTGATTTAGTGAACTGGAGTTTGGGAATATTTCAGCTTAATCTGTCCAACTAAAACTTCGATAGCACTTGATTATTCTGACTTGCATTTTAAGCAAGAAGTATTTTGAAAAATGGGGTATAAATGTCTTGCGGCTAAGCAAGAAAACAAATCAATCTGTCTTCCTCTCCTGAAGCTTGCTGTAGTTTTACTAGCGCAGAGGTCCTTCTGAACAGAAGCACAGACTTATCAACGTGTAGAAGGTAGCGATGGCGGAGTTCTGCTTCTTATCAGTGAATAAATGCCTTTGTGGGAACCAAAAGCTCTTCCAAGTCCCCGGAGAATGCCACAGCATTGTTGTAGCCTTTTAAAAGAGAAATCTCTTGACTAGTATTTAAACAAAATGCTGCTATTTGTGGCTACTTATGAATTTTTTTTCAATTTGAGCAGCTAAACATTAAGAAAACCTCCAGTTACGAATTGGAGGCAAAACTGTTGGTAACTGGGAAGGATGGGTGGAGCCTGCAGAGCAGTCTGGCCGTTGCTTTCTGCAAGTGAGGTTCTGAGCACCCCAGATCGTTCACTTATTCTTGACATTTACCTTCCCCAGTGTGCGGATGCCGATGTGGAGGCTGAGTGCGCTAATGATACGCCGTTGCTTAAAGGTAGTTTCAGGCTTTGAAGAGCGAAGATTCCCTCTTCGAAGTCGATCCCTTCCCTTAAGTAGGATGCGTTTTCAGCCTACTGGAGTGTTTCCCCTTTATTACTTTGATATAAGCTTAATATTCATAGTGTAGCAGAGACCCACCTGCATGGAAATACAGTGGAGTACAACTTTTGCGTTACTGGGATTTTTCTTAAGCAGTTACTTGGACCTGATAAAATCAATATAAAAATCAACATTATTACTTGTGCACTAGTTTACACGCCAAGCAAAAATCTTAGATCTGATGCAGTGCTTACTGAATGCCTCATGTATTTGGTTAGTGTAAAATTAATACAAGTTAGTCCTGTATAGATTTGTCTCATGGGCTACATCAGGATCCATTGTGGGGAAACAGATATAATGATAGAAAAAAAAAACCAACATGAAATTAGAGTGATTTGTTTCAGGCAATTTAGTTTATTATATTTGACATGTTATCAGGTCTCTGAAACACAACTAAAGCTTTCCCTTGAACACATGTCGTGTCCTGTCTGTCTTAATGACCATCTGCAGTGCATTATTTTGCCTTCACTGTAACGATGTGCTTTCTACTAGAAGCCAGCAGAGACTACTGAGCTGCTGAGGAGTACAATGTCCCTTTAATTCTTATGGGAATAATAATCCAATTTTATATTATACCTTTGAAAGTTTTCAGAGGTCATCTCAGTAAACCAGGCACCGTTCTATGAGCTACATCATCACCGTCTGAAGCAACCTGCCTTATTGGGTTTTGAATTATAGATGCACGTTTCCCCCGTGATGTCTTGCATTATGTTTTTGTCTGTTGAGCCATGTGCACAAGTTTGAGCTCTCAATAGACTTTAAACATACTGAGATTGTACAGTTCATATAGATACACGCCACACGTGCTAAGGTCAGGGATTCTCAAAAGTAGTTCAAAATCCTCTATAATTTTGCCTTGCCTTTTAAAAACACAGCAATGTAGCCTGTATGATTGTAGAGGTGCCAGTGGAAATAGGAACTGGTTTCCCCAGTCCTCAACTGTGCCTTTGTACTGCCTGAAATGAGGTAGGTGTTCTTTTCTTCTTTTGCAAGACACTAAGGACTCGGCAAGCTGTGTGTGCCTATATATATATTATCACAGAACAAAATGTGTCCGTGTGCCATTGGTGCGTAACAAGGTGGCCAGCGTGGTGCTGTGCAGCAGGGAGATGCTGCCCTGTCTCTTTCTCTTCAAGCTTTTGATGAAGGATGCCTACCGGGTTTATGGCACGTGTTGTTCCCAGCTTTCCACGGAGACAGGCGTCACCCTTTCTTTCCTTTCTTGTCTCTGGCTCTGCTGTTAACAGCCACATTTTTTTTCTTGTTGGTCATCCTGAACTGGGACAGTTGCTACAGCACCTGATAAAACGCTGAGAGATGCAGTATTTATTTTTTTTAAAAACTGAGTCAACTGGCAGGATGTTCACCACCTGAAGGAACAGTCCTGGATTCCTAAAGACAGAAGTTACAGCTGTGTTCTGTCTCCTTGTTTTCTGAAACATCTGGCAAATTCTGCAGCTTGGCAGTATACTGTTCATACGCATGCCAGGACACTTTTAAAGACTGATTTGGTGCTTGCAAGAATCGCTGACGCATTGACATGCTTGGCAGTTTACTTTTTTGTTTAATGAGAAGAACACTAAAGAATATTAGGTTAATACAACAGTCGTCAGTATTGGTAACTGTGAGCAACATAATATCGTTTTTTGGGGCAAACCCCCATGCTTGTTAAATTCGGTTTCTGTTGAACTAAGAGGTTAATTCTGCATGCTAAATTCAACTGATGTCATTGGAGAAGAGTCAAGTTTTGGAACTGGTGCTAAGGAAGGATGTGGTTGAGTTTTCTGATATACGTCTGCCTGACTTAGAGTTGAGAAGGAGCTGCGTAAGGCCCGATGAGTTTAAACCTGACTCTGGTTCCTCCTGATAACTAGGCTTAAAAGCATCGGGCAAGATTTGGTTTACTGAAAGGAATACAGAATTGGATCCTGCACTTCGTTTTGGGAAGCTGGGAACTGGCCACGCTCTACAGCTTCCCCTGGAGAATTGTGTTGATTAACTGTAATCTATAATGGGATACTTCTGTGGTTTTATTTGCATATGTTGGAAGGTTTGCTTCGTAGGCTCTCACTAACAAATGCAACACTACTTTTCCTCCTTACTTCAACAAGTAGTGAAGATCTTTTGTTTTACAGCACTCAGTTGCTTACCAGGACTGGTATTCTATCAGGTAATGGTGATATGTAGGTAAAGACATTAACCAATGAAAGGAAACCTGGTTTTCCCCAGAGTGAATAACTGATCTTCTTGGCAAATATTTTGGAGCTTGAGGTGACCTCTAATCCAAGCTGATTCTGAGTACTTAGCTGTTTGAGTGTGTCTCACACTCTATTGGTGGTATTTTCCTTTAGATAACTTCATTGTCGTATTACTGAAAGGCTGTAAGCGGAGGACACATGTACTTAAGATTTTTACAGTGAGCAATGGAAGTTTTAGAACTGATAGAAAGATCTGATGTCTACACCTTAGATTATTTGATAAATTTTTCCTCCTTAAAAAGTGGATGCAGCACTTCAGGATTTCTTCTTTGTTTGCGTACTTTAAAAGTTAAATTGTGTCTTCTGAAGTCTGTGTCTGAAATGTCTATACGCACAAACACAAAACATGACGTCCCT